CAGATCTGGTGGCCCTTCCACCATAACATCAGTTCCATCGTTTTAGCCTCATTCAGCTTAGTCTCCTGTAGGCACACCACATCTATCTGTTCCGCTTTCACTTTCCTCGCTAACTCCCTTCGCTTGGGCAGCAGTGAGTGAGCGCCAAGCCTCTCACATTCCAAGTCGGCAGTTTCAGCCTGTTGCAATTTTTCCGTGTTTGCATCACCATCCCTTCCCCTCTACCGCCCCCTTTTACCGTTTACTTCTTCCTACGTCCAGATTATGCATCCAAAATTTGTAAAAGTATTATCCTCCTCTATTATTTGCTGGGGGGGTGTCTACATGGTGGCAACACCCATTCAAGATAAGTATATACCATACTTCCTAACCTTCCCTACTCCATACCCTCGTTCCCACCGTTCCCAAATACCGGTTCCTTTTTGGAACTGCTCTTCCCCCACTTGTTCGTCCTGCAGCAAGCGCGCAGTGACACTGTTAAGCACAGCCAAGGATGTTGCATGTATCAGATGATAGTCTTGAGGGAGGGGCGTGGGGCCATAGGCTTCAGCGAATTGTATTCAATGCATGCCTCTCGTTCCTAGCCTCGGGGATCCTGGCCTCCTGGGGATAGCTTCCACGAAATATACGAAAATGACATACTCCTCCCCATCCGCGGTCTGTCTCACGAATCGTGATGCTGATTTCTGAGGCAACGCCACCAGCTCATACCTTGGGCCCAGCCACTCAGTCACCTTCTTGAGTACTTGCTGTTCCTGAGGTAGACGAGTCACTCCGAAGGTTGGTACCTCCGTCGCTCCCTCCAGAAGCAGTCTGATTTCCTCTGGCACCCACCATAAGACGATCGGGCAGACATAGCCCTCTCCTGCCTTCAGTATGTCATCCAACCTAGCCCCCTGCGCTGTATGTTGATCCCGTTCTGATGATCGCTCCTGTTGCTGCTGGCCTGCAGACTGATGAGCAGACTGTTGGTCTTCCCCTGAGCTGTCCGATGTCTCTGTTGTTGAGGACTCCAACGAACTCTCCTCATCTTGGCTGCTCGTCTGTTCCCCCACCCCTTCAGCTGGGAGTCCAAAGCTTGGTTCTCTGAGAGGGACCGATCCTGATGGTGGTGGCGATTCGTCCCTTTTTCCTTTACCTCTCAACGAGTACCTTGGTTCATACCCCTTGGTTCCCAAGGGCGATCGCTGTCTCTCCCTTGTATTCTTCAGCCTCGTTTGTGACGTTTCCAATGAAGTCTGCCGTCCCGAGGTCGCATGACCCGTATGTTTCTTGTATTTTAATGTTGCTTTGCTGGAAGAGAAAGTCGGGACTGGGAAACGTTCGGCTGATGACGAGTTCTTCAAGGGTTCCGTAGTCACTTGTTTTCGCCTACGCCAGCATTTTATCGGTGAGCGATTCATCAGGACCTGATCTGCTATAATTGGCGTTTCATACACCGGCCTTCGTCGCGTGCCCGACTCCCCGAAGCTGTCCTGCTCGCCTCTCTGTTCGACCTGCCCTTTCTCTTCTCTTTCCTTTCTATCATGCACTTCCTGCCCCTCTTCTGTCTGTGTTTCTTTCCCCCTCTCACTTTCTCCACCTTGACCCTCAGATTCCACGCCTTCCCTCCTCCTTCCCCTCCATCAGCGTCTTTCCCAGTCTTTGTGTCTTGTTCCCCCTGCTGTCCGTGAGTTCCCTGGCTGATCGTTTCCTCTTGCCCTTCTTTCTGCCGGCTGCTCTCGCCCCTTTCTTCGGCCACCCAGGTCGCCTTTTTTGACTCTACTTGCCCTCCCTCCCTGGCTGATCGTTTCCTCTTGCCCTTCTTTCTGCCGGCTGCTCTCACCCCTTTCTTCGGCCACCCAGGTCCCCTTTTTTGACTCTACTTGCCCTCCCTCCCTGGCTGATCGTTTCCTCTTGCCCTTCTTTCTGCCGCCTGCTCTTGCCCCTTTCTTTGGCCACCCAGGTCCCTTTTTTTTACTCTACTTGCCCTCCCTCCCCCTCCTCTTTTGTATTTGCTGACTTCCCCTCAGCGTCTTTCTCCCTTGTCATTTTGGGTCCTCTCTCTTTTTCCGGCACCTGTTCCGCTTTCCATTTTCCGTTCTTCCCCAAAGAGCCACTGCGGATCGTTGGTCTGCATAGGTTAAACTCCCCTCCCTTCCCATGGCACATTCCGGCGATATCTACCTCCCCATTTGGCCGACTTCATACGTCTCCCTTCCTGGCGGAATTGGTTTGTTGCATCCTTTCGCATCTGCGCTGCTGTTCTGACTTCATTTAGCAGGGCCTCGTCCAACTGGAGCTCCAGCTCATGCCAGGCCTTCCTTTCGTCTTGAGGGTTTGACTGCAAGATCAGGTCCATGGTACTTCTCACCTCCCTTTCATGCAGCTCCTGCAATGTCTCAGCCGGCGTCAAACATCTTCCATGCAGCCCCATATGGCCATGCGTGAAGCACACTTCACAAAAGGGTGTTTCACTCGTTACTGCCCGCACTTCCTCAAAGCTGTAGGGTCCTATGGCCACTGCCACACTGTTCTTCAGCGGGTTCTTCAGCGGACCATCCACAACATATCTCACATACCCTCTTTCCTCACCATCCACCAGCTGTTCACTAACTATTGGGCCAAAAAAATATTCCACTCCCCCCCTTGTGCACTTGGCTGCCAGGAGGGAGGGTTTATATACCTTCACCCATGGCCGTCATTCCCGGTCAAGCATTCTGGCCACGTTCATTTCTGCTGGCAACTTCCACGGTTGATATGTCACTTGGCCGTGCACTTCTGCCACGTGCAATTCGTCCCCCTTTCTTTCATTTATGGCCCAATCCCTTAGCTCGACCGTCGGCGCTAAGTATGTGACAATCGTATCCCCCTCTGTGTCAATTTCCCCTCGCCACGGGCCCCTCCCCAACGTCCATGCTTCCTCCATGTGTCCTACCCATTCCCGCTTGGCTTTCCTCGACCAGCCTGCTGTCCCTTCCGGCATCTTGCACGCCACTGTATGGGCCCGCGCGTATGTGTTCTGCAAATACATGATTTTGTTCGTTGGCCGCACCTAGCATACTCCTCCATGCAGTGCATACTCGATCAATCCAGGCCCTTCCACCGGTTGGCGCAGCAGATATGAGTGCCTCAGAATCTACATGAGGCCCCATCGTTCTTGTGCCATTCCCTCCATTTCCTCCCCAATTCCCCTCTCCCCCGCTTCTATGTAATGATCCTTTCGTAAGCTTCTAGCTATTTCTTGAATCAATCTTCCCCCTCCCTCCTCCAAATTTCGTCCTATACTAGTTATCCTCCTGTCTTACTCCTTGAAATGGTTCGCCACCCGTCCACTAGCTGAATCCTCTCCCACACTTACCGGCAGTTACCTTGCCGAACGCTATCAAGGACGTCCTCGGTTTATCGCCAGGTCAGCCAGACCTTACAGGCTCAGTTTCTCAATTCCCACAGTATTTTCAGCCTATCGGTTCATCAGGAGGAGATCCTAGATCTCCCCCGGTGTGGTTTCCTCCCCTTCCAAACACCCCCTCAGCCACTTCTCACCTTGCAGAGGTCATCATCTTCTACTCCCTTCCTACCCCCCTGTCTCTTTGACCCCACTCGATATTCGTTCAGTCAGCATCATTGAGTTTTGACTCCGACGGGCCTGTCCGACGGCAGTATCTGCGTCGTAATCGGAGCGGCCATCACTAGTCAACTTCACCCTGTGCAATTCGTCGACGCCTCCTTGTCGAGGCCGGCAGTCGAGGAGAATTCTCGCACGGCTCTTTGTTTTGCGACCATCGTAGGTATGTTGTATTCGGGTGAAGGCGTTATTGTTGATTTTCCGCTGTTGTTCTGCAAATGTCACTCTCGTACGGAACTGCCTGTGAACTGTTGATGCGAAAGCAAGAAACAGGCAAAAAACGGACTGTGACAGTCTGTTTCATCGAACTTCCACTTACTCGTCTGGATGTCTGTACCGTTGTGTCATGAAGAGATCATATAGGCTCCAGCATACCCTCAGGAGGAAATTGGGACGAGATTTTATGAAAACTTATAATCTTCTTAAGTAGACTGGTCTGTCTTTTTTCCTTTCTTCCTTTCTTTCTYTTTTTTTTGTTTAAATCAAAATTGAACAACCCCCCAGGCGAGGCATGCGAGAAGGGGGTTATATCAGCATCCTCCCCTATCAGGCCCCCACTGGGTGTTCCAATTTATTGCTGGGGAGCGACAGCTGCGGGAAACCAGGTCCAGCATCCCATTATACAGCCATTAATAGTAATTTAATTAATTTTAATACCCATTATTATATTATAGCAGGTTAACATCAATTTCAATTGGGTTTTTGACTGTGGTTGTGTTTGCATTAAGTTATATGGCATCATCCGCGGTTAATTGAAAAAAGCCTACAATGATGTTCATCGCTAGGAAGATTCTCACGCACGGCCGGTCCTGCCCGGCCGGGCACCCGGGGAGGTCTGACGCCCGGGGTACCCGGGCGTGCAAAAAAAAAAAAAAAAAAAGAATTTTTTTTTTTTTTTTTTTTTTTYTGCGCTCTCCCAGAGGACTCTAAATCCGGGCTYWTTTYGTTTTTTGCGAGTTGGCTGTCAAGGGGGGGGGGGGGGGGTATAAATTGGATTTAAAGGGGCTAAAGGGGTCTAAAGGGGGGTGCCTTTGTGTGATTCTGTTATTTKCTTTTTTATCTCCGATTCTGTGAGGAATTATAATGTGACCCTCAGCCAAAAGTGGTTTGCATTTCAATCCTACACAACATATTTTTTTTCCGGAATTTTTTGAGTTTTTATTTTTTATTTTTTTGGCGCTGGGGCTGCCCGGAACCCTGCCCGGGGGTCATGCCCGGCCTGGCACCCGGGCGTGTGCCCGGGCAGAAGTTGGGTGTCCGGGCGCCCGGGAAAACAGCCTAGGTTCATCGAACTTCATCCAGGATTCCCGTCATCTAGGAAATTACAAGCGGCAGATTAATTTATTTTCACGGACAACTTGTGATTGTTGCTTTGACTCGATTTTTTCTGCAGGGACAGAAGCAGCTGGCGAAAGGTTTTACAATCGGCGCTTCGTTAGCGAAGCGGACGAGGTTGGAAATTGGTCCTGGTGCTGGATACAATGAGGTGAGGAGACAGGGTACATGTGCTCTTTACTCCACTACTGCCCCCAACTGCTCAAAAAATGTGAAACGTTCAAATATGATGGCCAGGTGGTGTGCGCCAGTAGGGTTGGCCGCCGGCGCTCAGCGACTTTGCAAAATGTCGTCGAGTGCACCGGCTTTGGGATTTTTTGTTAATAATCTTTTACGTTAAACCGCCAGTACATTTCCCAGCTATTTATTTTGACTTGCGGCTTGCATGCCGGCGCAACTTTTTGGGCTAACCCTCCGGAGCAAAACGGCTGGCGGAGCCAGCCAAAAGAAGGCCCGCGGCGGCGGTTCTTGTTTTCGTTGGCGCGCACTGTGTTTCCAGCTCCGGAGAAAAGTGCCTCGGAAGTACTGGTGGTTGAAGATCTGAAAAAAATCAGGGACGTAAATTGAGTTGAAAGGATTTCATGCATCTCAGAGTCCCGGTCCCATTTCCAAGTCCCAGTGTCCCATGTATCATCACCCCGATCGCAGGATCATACCATCGGCCAGCAAGAGTAGGTCGAGTCAAGTCTCAGTTGCCCGTGTGTCATAACCGGATCGTACCATAGGATTGTAGGTGTCGTAGGCCCAGTCTGTACGATAAGTTCATAGGCCTCATAGGTCCACACACCAGGCCAGTAGTTATGAAACGGTAGAAGAGTTCTGTCCGTCCGTCGCTGCAGCGAGCTCAGAAGTCCTGTGGCAGCCAAACGTCTACAAAATGTGCATTTATGCTTGTCGCAGAAGCACTGTTGCAGACTTGTGCAGTCAACATTGAGAGACGGCTGAAATAGATGGTAGCTGAGGGTGCTCAGCACCATAGGTAGTAGAGTGAGAGAGAGACATATCGAGGAAAAGAAGGAATATTGAGAGAGAGAGAGAGAGAGAGAGAGAGAGAGAGAGAGAGAGAGAGAGAGAGAGAGAGAGAGAGAGAGGAAGGAACAAGTGGTTTTGCGCATGAAACTTCCCAAACATGGTGGCTTAAGGATGGAAAAGAAATTGTTTGCATGTACATGCATATTTTTTGGTTTACATACGCATGAAATGGTGACTTTCATCATCAGGAATAGGACGTGCTAAATATATTCAAATAGCCCAATTTTTTTGTTGAATTCAGAATTTTTGCTTTTGGAGTCACGGTGGTTTCGGGATTTTGGTGGTGCGGTGGATTCTCAGGTCACGGCATGTATTGGTTCCATTAGTTAAAAGTACAGGGTTCTGTTCCGTGATCATGTTTAGCCTTTCTTGGGTATATCTTGAAATCACGTTGTTTGTGAGCTTGAGATGAAAACGTGATGCCTTTTCTTGGCTGTTTTCACATGTGTTGGCACAGGTGAGGCCGCACTGGCCTTACATGTAAGTTGTATGTGTGCAGATGTATGTGTTCAATAAGTACATAGTATTTAGTATTTAGTATTTATAATTTTATATGTACAAGGGGATGACCGCTGCACATGTGGCGGGGAGCATGAGGGGGGCAGCGGACGCAGGGTCCCAGCAAAGAACCGCACAGCCAGTCCCAGCAGCAGCATCGGAGGGCCAAAAAAAAAAAAAAAGCAAAAGGCACTGGAAGGTATCTGACCGAAATCGGGCATGCCATGTACTTGTATTTGAACATGCGACTAATACAGCGATAAGGTGGCTGTGCCGTCGCATCGCCACAAAAACGGCTAGTCCACGGCCCAAGAGCCTAGCTCGGTGGGTACACCCATGAACTGTTGACATACAGACCGGTGTTCGAACCCAGGTGATGGAACTTGATGAGTAAGACCGATTGCTACTGAATTGCCTGGGGCTGGTCAGCTCACTCATGATATCTCAAGGCCGTCAGCTGCTGGGTAGTCGAGCAAGGCCCTACGAGCACTGCTAGATTGGACCTCGCTCCACTGCGCACCGGGGGGGGGGAAATAAATAAATAAATTTAAAAAATATATGCTGAGAAAAAAACCGACGGTTCCATTCTTTTGTCGTTTGTGCACGTGGTGAGTAGTGGAGCGAGGCCCTCTCCACTGCTCACCAAACGGGCAGAGGATATCTCAAGGCCGTCAGCTGCTGGGTAGTCGAGCAAGGCCCTATGAGCACAACTGCCAGATTGGACCTCCCTCCAAGGGGAGGGGGGGGGAATGCTGAGAAAAAAACACGACGGTTCCTTTTGTCGTTTGTGCACGTGGTGAGTAGTGGAGTGAGGCCCTCTCCACTGCTCACCAGACGGGCAGAGGGCGTGGCTGCAGGATGCTTCAAATGTGCAAAATGAGACTGGATGCACCTCTAGAACATGGAAAGATACATTGCCATCTTTTTTCTCTTTTGTACATCTGGAGAGTAGTGCAGCCACGCCCAAAGTCGAAAATAATTTTCCCTTGGAACATCGAAAGATACACCGCAATACTTTGGGCCTTGCTGCACCACTCTCCGAATGTGCGAAATGAGACTGAATCTACCGCTAGAACATGGAGAGACACATTTCCGTCTTTTTTCAAGTCTTTTGTCTTTTGTGCATGTGGAGAGTAGTGCAGCGAGGCCCTTTCGTCCGGCTCTTCTCCAAAAAACACAAAAAGAGCGAGAATTTAATCTACCGGAAAAAATAAAAATAAAAAAAAATGAAGAATCTACTGGCCAAAAGGAAAAACAGCTCTGCACGTCGCGGCGCTATGTACTTGTATTGGAACATGCGCCCGGCGAGTCGGAAACGGCAGCAACTCTTCCTTTGTCTGGGCCCGCCCCTTGTTCCGGCAGCTTTCCCAACACTGGAAGGTGGGTCTGCATGGGAGCGTTACGCGAGGCCCGCGATTCCCTTTAAGAGTAGAGAGACATATATGGATATAATACGTCCACATAGGTCTTTCGTGTGTACCCTTTGTTTCAATGTCTGCCCTCTCTGTTCTGCAACTCAAGGAAAAGGCCACTCGCATGTCAAATCGACTCAAAGTAATCACTGTTGTTGGATTGTAGACAGAGTCGTTGAAGTTACACTGCATGTCTGCAAGCAACTCTGTTCTAAGTTCTCTTTTTTTTTTTTTTTTTTTTTTTTTTAATTTTAC